AAGGGGGCCAACACTTTTTCACACCACTGTATATATATATATATATATATGTAAAATAAAAAATAACCTTAAACTTATTTTATTTCAGCGAGTTGCCTGCAACATTTCTCAATTTATTTTAACTTGATGTACTAAAGTAGCTAAAATTAAAACTGAAATAAAAAATTTAAAAACATAAATAATAATAATAATAATGACAAAAACTTTAACTAAAATGTAAGTACAAAAATACAAACTAATTCAAAATACAAAAAAATTTGTACAAGTATCTCAACGATACTAAATTATCACTGGCTGGAATCTAAACAAAGAAAAAGCTCAAATATGAGAGAGTTTTTATTTGCGTCGTAAGTTTTCATCACTACATCATTCCCAGACTCTCATTTGTGTTATTTCATCACTGCAGTATTATTCTAGCATGTGCAAACTGATGACTGCTGCTGTATATGTACAGTATGAATGCATACATGAGATCAGTTCAGGCATGCTGTGTTCTGTATTCTATAATCCTGATGCTGTATGATTCAGGGTGAACCTGGATTGAGGGGTGAGCCGGGAGAAACTGGTTATCAGGGTGACAAGGTGAGCGTCAAGGTTAAACAGAGTGTTTTCTAAGGTTTATATGGTCATGAAATATTATCGGTCTGTCTGTTGAGGGTCTTGGAGACATTTGTACACTGATTAGTATATTCCCTCGTCGTCTGCTGACTCAAAAGTTTGGTGCGTGATGTAAGAATGGAAATCCATTTGCATTTCACAGTTTTAACATATACTAATAAACTAATAAACTTTATGTGATGCATGTTGGTCAGTTATACATAAAAGAAACAGGTCAGATTTCTGCTCTCAAAAAAAAACATGGCATAGTTTATTATTAACTATTTGCGTCTATTTAAATAATCATATTTATTATTTTTTTATATTATATATGTTTTATATTTTTATATTTGCCATAGTTTATTCTTATTTTATATATTTCAGTATTATATGCTAAAATCAAAATAAATTTTATTTTGTTATATAACAAAGCAATTAATTTTTAGGAAGCACTCTGACAGTATTTCTTAATGTAATGCCAAAAATACAAATCTCATTATCATATATATACACTGTAAAAAAAAAAATCCGTAAAATTTACAGTAAAAAAACGGCAGCTGTGGTTGCCGGAATTTTACTGTAAAAACTACAGTAGCAACGTTTTAGGTTTTACGATTTAAACTTAAATTTACAGTAAAATACCGTAATTTCATTAACTGATATAATGTTAATATACCAAC